AGCGATACCCTCAATTTTTTTGCAAAATAATCGCAATTCTGGTTTCTGATCTTTGAATGATATTCCATATTATTTGGAGATTTAGGAATTCCATTTAGGGAAAAAAAGGAAATTTCCCTTCTTGTAATTTCAATTTCAAGAGCTGCTCATTATTGGTCCGAAGCAGTAGTGTTTCGTCATCAGGGCCCGTAGTAATCCACCCCACATGTTGGCACAAGACATGGCGGCGACCTCGCGAACCTCATGAGAAGCTCATGTTTTGGGCGTGAGGTTCGCCAGTTCCCATGTCTTCTTGATTGAGGTAATCACAAAGCAATTTGACGTCGATCGCAAAACCACTGTTCCTGCTATGATAGAACTCTCCTCTGGCCAACGAGAGTCAGCACGTTAACCAATGAACTATACGTGTGCACTACGCCTCATTGTAAGAAGGTTAATCGAGTTCACCAGTCGCTTCCTCATTAACATGTTCATCACTTGTACATGACTGTGCTAGCCATAATGTTAGAGGCGATTTCGCGATTTCCTTCCAAGCTTTCTTTGTCAAATGACACTAGGCAAACTAAACATATCTGGAAGTTAGTAGCAAGTTTTCGGGACCCTGCCAGATTGTGACAGTCGCGTAACCTAGCAAGGCGCATATCCATCTGATCAGTCTAAGGGATCTGTCATACTTCGCAAGCGCTTAGAAGCGAAAAGCGAACGCTCAAAAGCGCCCAAAAACGCCAGAATGCCCCTGACGCACCTTTTTGAAAGCAGCAGTCATCACTACAACTCTCTGTTAACACAAAGTCACAGCTTGACATACATGGTGTGTCAAGGCTTGACACACCATGTGTGTCGTTGAGATGGCTACTATTTTGTGTTAAACCCACTTTGGGAGTTTTCACTTGTACTGGATCTAAACACAACCTCTAGTGTTTTTGTCAGCATTCCAGCGTTACTGTAGGTGTACTGTAGATGGAATTGTGCGTGATTTTATCCAAAAATGATGACTGCTCCATGAAACGCCTTGGTCTTCAATGTGTTAATAGCGGAATAGAACTCGTTTTCTCTTGAAAATGTTGGCTAAGGATCGTGAGGATGACTTCAGCCAGAGTTCACTCAATTCACAAGTTATCTCAGCAACTGTTGGGCACAAGATTTTCAAATACGAGCAACGACTATGAACTGACCGTTCGGCCGCACACGCCGCAGACACGCCCAAAAGCTTTACAACTTTTTGCGCATTGGCGCAAAGAGTTTCCAACTAATTTCCTGGTAATGTACAGTCGAGCAGATTTGTCGGTAATCATAGTGCCTTTCGGTGCCGAAGTCTCGCGGTAATCGCGCTTGAACAATAGCTACCAGAACGTTGACATTTTGCACGCGCAACTGCAGGCACAATGGCTATAAGACAAGCACTTTTCTCAAACGTATCGCAGTTGTAGAAGTCGTGGTCAAGTCCCCAACTTTTCGCGCGTCCGCCATCGTAGACACGGCCGGTGCGTGCGGTTGCTGAGAGGGATAGCTATCGGGTGGAGGACATTAGGTCGCCGAAAGAGGGCGGTCCCCGCGGTCATTTGCGACAAATACGCACTCTTGTACATACGCGGACATGCGTTCCTGCAGGGAATCCGCGCGGGACTCTTCCAAATTCGGCGACCTAATGTCCTCCCCATAGCTATCTGCTCACGCGCAAATTCTACCGTAAATGCAGCATAACGGCACTGTATCTGACAAGCTGCTCGACTGCACTACAACTCAAGCAGTCTTACTCACTCAAACAAAAATGCAACCATTTCAAAGAAGCCTATTTAAATAGCTTACGCTCTTCTCATAGTGCACCACTTAGGCCCGTATGCACTAACATTTTTGCGGCGAGGGGAGCGGCGTCCCCCATTATGAAGGGACCGCGTGCGGACGCCGCTGCGGCTTTTTTCATCATTGGGGACGCCGCTCCCCTCGCCGCAGGGATGTTAGTGCATGCGGCTCTTAGTGTCTTTGTGAAATTGTTGTTCGATCGGAAGGCTTATCTCAAAGAATACAAACTATAGGCGTACAAACATAATGTTGAAGCAACATGGTACATTACAACGATAGAAACAACACAAAACAAGAAATGTTTAGCTTTCGAAGAATGCGTATTAAGAGCCGCGCAACGTCACCAAGCCTTTCCATAACAGCGTTCGCACACTCACCTAAACAACAATGATGCGGACTAGGTGGCAAATAAACTAATTCATTACCTATTTGGAAGACATTCAAGCATTATGATAGGTTTATTAAGCATTTGCTGGGACGAAGAACAGATGTTGACAGAGAAACACCCTTTGCAAATCTATAACATAAGCATCTGTACAGATTCAGGCGTACCGAGGTTCAGGCGCTATTCCACATTAGTTGACTCAAGAAATGAAAATCGTGAATTTCATTAAAACTTTGTCTAGGGAGGTTATTTGGTACGCTGAACACGAATATGATGTTTACTTCGTGCGACAGCGCCATCCGGTGGAGTTACGGTAGTTTTACGGTAGGGGTCAAAATCACAAATCGGCAAATGTATCTTCCTCTGTGCTTTGCTTAGGCAAAAGCCGCAGCAGGGTGTGTAGCGCGCAGCGGTGGTCGTGTGCAAAGCTTCATGATCGTCCGAATCGCCATGCACCCGTTTCAGGCAAAACTATGTTTTGTACCCGTTACCGCGTAGCTACCGTGAGCCGAGAAAACGGCGCTACGGTTCAAAACCAATGTGATGATTGACATCAGTGGGCCGAATAACCCCTCTGGGCCAAGTTTCGGGAAAATCCGTGATTTTGACCCCCCCCCCCTAGCGTAATCCTACCGTAACTCCACCGGATGGCGCTGTCGCACGAAATAAATCCCATATTCGTGTTCAGCATACCAAATAACTCCTCTAGACGAAGTTCAGCGAAATTCACGATTTTCATTTTTTGGGTTAACTAATGTGGAATAGTACCCAGACTCCAATATATGCTTCAAAAATTGCCGGATACGACGCCTTTTCTTTCGTGAAATGCGCGAGAAAAGCACTTATGTTGAACTTCGCTTTACTTTCGTTTGAAGCACTTCGGAAACTCAGGCTGCGTCCAAAATTACCAATGTACCCGTCCCGTGCTCATAAAAATGGCATGCAATGCCTCCGTCCACTCCCATCTACGGGCATGGATGTCAGCATTAATGTAAATAAGCGCAAACGTCATGATAAATTGGAATAGAATCAAATCAAATCAATCAATCACCTTACAATTTGCGACGGCGTCATCTTACTGAAGACCGACTCGGCTTTGCTTGTCACCATATTCTGTTGAAACAAAACTCTGGAATTCGCGAAAACAACGGAGCACAAGCAATTACAGAAATTTGTAAGCTTTTCATCGACACTATGCAAGAAAGAAAGAATGAGCGCGTCGTTAAAAAAAACGCATCCATTGAAAGAATATGCTCCCGTCATACTTCGCCGCAAAAAGCACAGAAAAGCCCGAAAGATCCGGACCCCTTCCGTTCTGACGCTAAGGCATGTGTGTTGATTTCGCAACCGAGTGTTTTGTTTCATTTTCAGTCGTCTGCACGTCAAAATAATGTCAAAATTCTACCAAAAGTTCGTTTCTGTATCCCGGCTCTTTTGGGTTTTTTTGAGCTTTTTTCGCCTTTTTTGGGCTTTCTCCGACTTTTTGGGCTTCTTTTGGGCTTTAAATATGACGGCTTCCTCAATCATGGCCCAGAACTTCCCCAAATTCGCCAAATTTACCCGCTTTCACACTTTATCTTGAAAAAGGCTGCAAAAAAATGCAAGCTTGAGTAATTGCAAATTACTCACGATTTCTATAGTCTCTCATAATGCAAAACAAAAGTAATAACATGAGCAATGGCATACTGCGTTATTGCGCTCCGTGGGATGAACAAAGAAATGCGGATGTATTCGAAAGGCGCGCGTTTCGAGAGTCGTCATTCGCGGAAAGGATTTATACTCTGCAAACGCGAGGTTTCCAATTTCCGAAAGTCTACCGTTATATCAGAGTGACAGAGGATCACTAGTTGAAACTCCGAAAATAGAAAACTAAATTTTAACTTTTTCCTGCTTGTTCTAATTAGTGACAATCGATCAGTGCGCGCCATTTGACCGTCTCCCAAGAAATGCCCTCTTCATTTTTTTTGTTTTACTTAGATTAGCTAGTCCCAGACGATGGCAGCTGTGTAAGCGAGGCGCGCGGCAAAGGGGAACGGCCATAGGTTGCCGGCAACGGTTGTCGAGGTTGCCGGCTATGCCGAGCTGCCGGCTTTGCCGGAGTTAGATCAGAGACAGCTTCGAGAAACGTGGAGGCTATCATGCAGTCCCACAGCGACCGACAAAGCCGGCAACCTCGGCCACCCCGGCAACTTCGGAATCCAAGCCCTCGGAAAGGCCATATATGGGCGTTCCCTAAGGCACGCGCCATACTTGATCCGCTTCATCCACTTCGCCATTAATCAGTTGGCTGATTTGACCAATAGCGAAGTGGATGAAGCGGATCAAGCCGATCAAGTATGGCGCATGCCTAAGGCCCCGGGCAGACTTCACGCGACTTGATCGTCGCGACTGAGTCGCGACGAGACAACTGTTACAACATCATTCCATGCCGATCAACTTACATTCGGTTGTGATACTTTTCCAGCCCGACATTTTTGAATGTGAAATGAAAATGAATGGAAATCTTGGCGATTAGATCGCGACGATTAAGTCGCGTGAAGTCTGACCGGGGCCTAAGAGGCAATATGGCAAAAATGACCATAGCGGTAAGACCCATATGAAGAGAAACGACGCAGAAAACAACATTTTAGTCGTTCTAAACTAGTAAAATGCGCACGATAAGTCAAAAAGTTTGCAAAGGGAACCTACCATTCAACTGTAGCGATATTGACATAGCTTGCAAGCAAAATGGCTTCGATGCTTCGCGTCAGCTTTTGTCAATTTTCCCATTGAACATGCATACGAGGGCGAAAAGGAGATAGAAAGGCGACAGTTATCTGAAATTTCATTTCAAACAAAGTCAGATGGGACTGCAATTTTACGATTTGTAAGCTAATAATCCGTAATGTATGAATTAAAGCACACCTCTCAAACAGGTAATCCTTCCGTCCATGGACCGAGCATGAACTGGGCTTTTCAAGATTCAGCTAAAGAGAAACAATGTAACAATGAAACAAAAATAAAGCTACCAGTAATAAGGCACCAGAAAGAAACTACTTGAAAGTCAGATTTAATCATTATGACATACCATCATCATACCCTTTCAGTGATGCTTGAATCATAGGAACCCCATTTCGCTGAATATTAGTGTTTGAGCAAGGCGTTGAGATGTATAAGTGCAAACAACCTATATCATTCATAAGCGCTGAAAGTGCCCAGAAGTTGATCAGTAGGATCGAGGTTACTACGAGTGTGACAGACCGCTGAAAATGCTCGGATAGAAATGCAATACAGCTACATCCCAAAATGAACAAGAAAATGACTCACCGTATAATACTTCAAAAGGCAGATGAGATTGTTGCATAAAGTAGGTGCTATACCTAGAAGATTCGGTGAACTTTTATATAGAACAGTCAAAAGTAAACCGGATTTTCCAAGAAAAGAATTGTCAAAGCGCATTGCAACCAGAAAAGCAGCCATGAAGGAAAGTGAAATTTTATTGCAACGGGGATCTTTGCCTCTCATGTTTCTGAGATGTATTGTAAGGTAAGCGATAGGGGCAATTCTTCGCGAAACCCTATTGCTAGCACTGAGAAAACTGAACATATCAGCTGGTATCAACTCAAAAGCTCTAGAGGGCTCTGTTAGATTGTGACAGTGTACCAGCTGCGAACAATGCTCATATCCATATGACGCAAGGGCTTTAACCTCTTGAAACAACAATATTACTCTGTACTGCTCGAAAGGTTTCGGGAAGCGCCTACTTGATCTAGAAAAGCGCTTGAGGATCGTGTTGAGGTAAAGCGTACGAAAGGCTCGCAATCTTGGAATTTGCCACACTGCCCAAGACATAGAGTACACCATGTATAACCTCTGAGAATAAATAGTCTAGCTCACCAGATACTAAATTTTATAGAGACAGATTATAGATCACCGAATAGCTGACAGATCTCGTAAATAGCACATCATACACATTGATAGTGATCAAAAATGACAGTCATGTCTGCTCACCTAAAAACGCACGCAAATGAAGTGAAAACATTCAATAAACGCGGAAAAGCGACCTCGAACACACACATAGCTCCTCTTTTCTCTATCAAAATAGAAAAACTCTCATCATTCCAGCAATTTTTTTACTCTACTATCTATCTTAGTCATCAGTACGCCTCGGCTACAAAAGAAAAGTCTTAAAAATAAAGAAATTGTCCGAAAATCCCACAGAATATTACACCAATGTCATGAACCTGCCGGCATCTCGACGTGGTAGGGGCACGACGAGATGCCGGCAGGTTGCACTCCTCAATAAACACACTATTTCTCTTTCTTTTCTGACATGAGGGCGAGATGCCGGCAGGTTGAGGGCGAGATCGCGGCAGAAATCTCGACAAAATACCTCACGAGGTTGCCGGCAGGTCAATCTTTCGGGTCCAAAATTTGAAATTGTCGGGATTTTTCGGACTTTTTTCGATCTCCATCTGGTGCCCACCTCTAAGCTGGACCCTCAGACCTAAAGAGTGCCAGATTGACTGCTTTGGAGAACCCCTAGAGGGCGATGACAGTTTTCATGACCTGAGGGCGAGATCGCGGCAAGTTGAGGGCAAGACCTGCCGGCAAGTAGGGTAGATTACTACCGGTCCAGAAATCTGAAATTCAATTGGTAATATAGGAATTATGATCTACTGGCTGGCTTACCCGGCTCCGCCCGGCCTTGTCAAAACACTATGATAAAGGTCTTATCCATATCTCTGTACAATCTTTCTCTGTGCCCACTTCCACATATCAATTCCCTATTCCGCTGTTTCAGTTATCAGCAAGCCCACATACCCTCCTGCACAAAGCAATAAAAGAAACATAGGAGATTAAAAATGAAAGATTCATAGCTGAAGCTATACGTGTCACACACCAAAACGATGCCTGAATTCAATTCCCAAATATTCTGGATTCGTAGCATCTCGTAAAGTCGATAATATTTGCGCTTTAACTCTTCCCTCCCCCGCTCACCTTATGTCACAAATTTTCTGAAAGATTTAAGTCGTTACTTTGAATGTCATTCAATCTCTTCTATTACTTAGTTTCAACTTTTCAAACTATTTTCCCACCACAAATGATTCAAATAGTCTATGAAGTAGATGAAAAATAGCAGTTGTCATGTATGATAAAGGAAATACAACAGGATCGCAAAAATGAACGAGAGTCTCGGAACAGATTCATGATGAAACTCTTCGGTTTCAGATCTACTTGCTGTTTCATACAACATAATGTGAAGCTCACGAGTGTTAGGTGACCTTTTCAGAAGCGACAAGTGACCTTTTCTCGCCCTTGCTCCGAAAGTGGCTCGGATATTACGGTAGACCCGGACGCCGCCCACACAGTAATTTTGAAGTGCAAGGCCAGAGTGCTATAGCGCACACAGTTATGAGAGTTGGGTCCCATAGCGATGCTGCGTCTCCGACCTTGGCGGGCTTCGCGTTCTCACGTTCTCATTCAAATCTGGGGCCTCCGGGAAACGCCAATTTCCGACATTTTCTCTGCAAGCTGCACGAACGGAATCGGCGGAACGGATAAGCTCAGGTAAGCCAAAAATCTGAATATGGGATTTTGCTGGGACGCTGTTTTCAAAAGGTGCGTTATAGCAATAAAAATGAAACCCAGAATTTTTATTGGTAAAGAAATAGAAGTTATGCCTGTAGAGTGTCATGTATAAGCGCTGACTTTGGTATTCAGTTATCGCCTCCAAAAGTCTTTATTCTAACTCTCTTTCGTTTCTTCCTTCTTTATCCTCAGCTTTTTCTTCTTCATTTCGAGTTTTTCATATTCACGCACTTTATTTCAGAAGTGTATAAGGAAAACGCTAACGCGCGCACTCCTCTATGACTAAGCGCTCCAAAAGGCTTTATATCAAAAAGAGGATTCCGCTGCAGAAACTGCAGCGTAGATTTAGGCATTTTTTTCGTTTTCAAGTAATGAAAGTCACTGGCGTCTATCGTACCAGTTTGGGTGTCGAAGCGAAAGTTAGAGGAGCTTTGTATTACAATCATACCCGCCTATCAATGTCCATTACCTGTTTAGGGAAAGTTTACGAACGTAGAAATTTCCGCATAAAACCACTGCAAGTCGTGAAGTTGCCCATCACCAAGCTTTCTGACTGCCTTTTAGGAGATATTCTCCATTTGGATAAGGCCGCCAAAGTCATGGCCGGGAAAATGCTAGGAGGACTGTTTAACCAAACCGCTCACAACGTAAGTTTCCTCTGCACCCTTGAATGCCAGTAATCAACATGGTTCTGTTTTCAAATTTTCGTAAAATCCGATATTGTGACTAGGGCTAACTTTTGCTTCATCGATCATAATTGTCTCGATAGGCCTGACTCCCCCAATTGTCGGACCACTGCGCAAGAATAATGGTTTCACAAGCAATACAATTATCTCCTCTTCTTCTTTTTGATTACAAAGCGAAATGGACTGGCGAGGCAGCAAAACGTGCTACTTCTGAGATTGACGGAGAAGGCGACACCAGCTGACCTAGACAGGACTACCGCTGCAAAATTGCGCTAAGTGGTGTTTGGAATTTTTACCTTTATTTGCGAGGGTAAATGACCATCTTTACTCATGTAAATTTGTAATCTAATGTATTCTGCTGTAACTAAACGAAGTGTGCGCACGATAAGGCACACAAAGAGGGACAATCTTCATCAGCAGCTCATCCCTATGCCGCTTCGTATTGCCGCGAGTAAATCATTTTGCAAATTATTGATGGCATCTTCTTTTTTCAGACAATCAGTCCGCCTGAAGCCATCAATGATTACGATGTTCGCGTAAAAAAAGCAGCGGGGGCGCAAGATCAAGGACGTTACCGGGGGAAGTGGAGGAAAGACTTAGAGATGAATCTTAATTAAGTCTTTTAATCTTTACTTCACTGATAAGAATTTTTGAAAATGGAGAGAATATGCTCGGTATGGTCACGATAAACTGAGGCCTGGACAATTATCAGTTTGGAGAAATCTGAGAATAAGTACTAGTTAGAACACATCCAAAATGATGAGTTTTGTTGGGGATTCTAGTGAGTTTGGGAGCAACTTGACGACCTTACTCGAAAAAGGCACGGTTAGAGACATGTACCATTCAAATGTCTGCAATTTACTTGCATTGTAAATATCAAAACATATTTTGAGCTAGATTCTCACTATACTTCTCTAGACGTGGTGCACGCGGTTACGAGTACGTCACAGCTCAAAAAGGTTGATCAGAAACAATGTAAGTTGTCTTGCATTTGAGTCCCAGATCTGTTCTGTTAATGGCTACTTCTTTTGGCTGCAAGCGAAAATGTAGCATGGGATCTGATGAAGTGCGAGCTCGCCACAAGGCATCCACACAGCCAAGACGTCGACAGCAATATAGTCGTGAAACCCCAAGCCCGACGTCGAATCCTGTTTGAAGATGGATTTCCATGGGCCTCTCCATAAGTTTATTCCATTCATATGTCGTTTACCGTGCTCAAAGTTCCATGTTCTCATTTCATTTTTTCGCTTATACTCAGATAATCGCCGGGGGCAGGCGATTTATGAGCGTGCCGGCACCGGAAAAAAATAGTTCGCTGATTTCTTGCGGTCCGCTTGCAGATATTTGGATGAATTTTAGCAAAATTTTAGACGAATGCTTGAAGAATAATCGCGGTTCCTTATAAATTAGCTGCGGCGCAGTGGCCGCATTCTCGCGGACTTTCCGCAAAAATTTTCGAGGGCCGCACGATCCTTTGTGGAGGACCGTCCAGCCCCCAGGTACTTTCCTCTGAGAGAAAGTACCTCAAACTTGAGTAATTAAACTAACGGTGACACCTCTGCCACACAGAGTCTTACGTGTGCTCGACGTAAGCCCGAAACTGCGTAAAAAGAGCGCTTGCTGAAAGGCCAGCGCTTGCTGAAAGAGATTATTTGACGAGCGTCTGCAGAAAATCCTGTGTTGCTGCCCACTAGCAGAACATTAGACAGTGAAAAAAGTACCGCTCGCTGAGGGTTTGGCCACGCCCCAAAATTTTGCTGTCCGCTTGCAAAAAAACGCGAGTTTGCGGACCGCCTGCCCCCGGCAATTATCTGAGTATGTACAGCATACGAGTGTAGCATCATGCTCCTGTTATGTAGTAAATTTTCGGTCTGTGATAATATGTAGTTCCTCAGTTTAGATTCTCTGATGTGCTTTCCATCGAATTTCTCCATGTTTATAGTTCTACGCAATGTGATTATCCAGGCGAATTTACGTGATTACGATTGAACTGTCTCGATGCAATGTAATTCTTACAGCAGAAAAAACTTTTCTAAATTTTTGGCCAGAAAATCACATTCAAATGCCGTACCAGCGCGTGAACACAAAAATGTCGTACTAGCGACGTGAAGTCATATACGCGTAGCGGCGCCCAACAGCGTACCAGCGGGGGAATTCGCGCATTACACGAGCGCACTCTGCGGACGAACGGCAACTGTGGGT